TCAGAATAAGCAACAAATAATAATGCAGAATTATTAATGAATGAACTAATAAGATAAAGACTTGAGCAATCTACAGAAAAGACACTTACTGTAAGTATTTAATTTGTTATGTCATATTGCTAATGCTCAAACCTGGTGGAAACCAAATTTCATACAGCTGGAGTTGCTAGTAGTGGTATATAACAAATCATAACAAATACACAATTTTTTGACCAGTACCTTTTTCACAACATAAGTCAGTCTCATATGTTCTGAGTTTAAGTCTGTAGTTATTTTGACAATGAAAGTGTGGCACAGGTCGATAACCCTTTGGCCTTGTTCACCTCAAACATTTTACAGTCTAAATAGATTCAGACCAGCCCAAACCAGACCAGACCACATTACCACTTAAGACTAGTATTGACCTGCTGCCTGTCAACCACACATCAGAGAATAAGGTGACCAGGTTTACAGTAATGATGAGGATTTAGAGTAAAATCTCTCCACAAACATGCTGGTGTCTAAATCTAAGAATTAGCCTTCCATAATGGCTATACCTGACACTTACTGAATAATGTTCTATGTAAACAGTTATTTTAACCACTTGCTTGGAGTTCTCAAAGTGCATAACAATCAAAACACTGTTAAATGCAATATGAAGAAAGCTGATTTTCAAAACTCTTTCACTTATTTAAAAGTTGTACCAGATTATATTTTTAAAAAACCATTGAAGCTTCAGCATTATGTACAAAATGTGCAGTTGCCTCACCAATGTAACATAGTTCAATATGTCGGACTACCAAGCACTTTCTTCTCAAATATCATCACAATTTTGAGCAATATCGGTTGTGCCGTCCTTGGTGTGTAAGCTCTAACAATAGAAGGACATGATTTGTATTACATTTACATGTGCTCGGAATAAATGACCCATGGCAGAAAAAAACGTGAGCGAGGGCCATAATAAGGGAAATCAGATGAGATAAGATGAATTTATTTACATCATGTATGCCAATTGACAGCCTACCACATGTGACTTGTGAGTTTTACCTCATGCATTTGTGTACATAGTACACAAACCAAGGAACACTCAATCCAAGACACAAGTCAGGTGACTCAAAGGTAACAATAAGTCAGGACAATATTTTTCTCCTGAGCCGACTAATATGAACCACTAGGAACCATTTAATCGGATGATTAAATATTTGAAATATTTATGAAAGACACAGTTTACAAATAAAACCAATAACCTGAGGGGTCACACTTTTTATGAATTTAAAGTGGTTATCTTTATGACAGCATGTGGAAGTGACATGTTTTCCTTGTGGAATCATGCTGTAGAGGAAAGGTCACAAACCTGATGATCCAGCAGTGGTCTACCATGACTATGAATTCTTCTATCAGCAACATTACCAGAACATGAAAGCTAAACACTAGGAACTACATACAAAATAAAAAAAAAGAAAAGAAAAAAGGGGAATAACGAAAACTGTGATAAAGTTAAAGAGCTAAAGGGGCAGTCGTGGCCTAATGATTAGAGAGTCAGACTTGTAACCCAAAGGTTGCGGGCTTGAGTCTCAGGTCCGGCAGGGATTGTAGGTGGGAGGAGTGAATAACCAGCGCTCCCTTCCACCCTCAATACCACGACTGAGGTGAGACCCTTGAGCAAGTGAAAGTGAAAGTGAAAAGTGAAAGTGACGTGACATGTGGCCAAGTGACCCATACTCGGAATTAGTGCTCTGCATTTACCCACCCAAAGACATACACAGCAGTGAACACACACACACCCGGAGCAGTGGGCAGCCATTTTTGCTGCGGCGCCCGGGGAGCAGTTGGGGGTTCGGTGCCTTGCTCAAGGACACCTCAGTCGTGGTATTGAAGGTGGGAGAGAGCGCTGTACATTCACTCCCCCCACCTACAATCCCTGCCGGTACGAGACTCGAACCCACAACCTTTGGGTTATGAGTCCGACTCTCTAACCATTAGGCCACGACTTCCCCCGCAAGGCACCGAACCCCCAACTGCTCCCCAGGCTCCGCAGCAATATGGCTGCCCACTGCTTCGGGTGTGTATGTGTGTGTGTGTGCACTTGGATGGGTTAAATGCAGAGCACAAATTCTATGGGTCACCATTCTTGGCCACACGTCACTTCACTTCACTAAATGAAGCTAAATCATCAAGCAAGCTGACTAGCTTCCTTGCAGAACATGTGGTGAGATTGTTAATAAAGTTTCTAAACATTATGTTTTAAGTAGTCCATATAACACAGCAATCTAGAATGCCTGATTCTGATTGGCTGAAGGGCGTTCTCATGTTTTTAATAACCACATGGCTATAAAACAATTCCAGTCCTGACCACATTACAGTTCCATATTACTTCACCAATTTATTTCAGTTATTTTAAAAAGCCTAAGAGCCAACAACAGCAAAATATCCACACACACACAAAAAAAAAAACACTGGCCAAGCAAATAAATCACCAATGAGTGGCTTTTAACCTCTCACCAAAGATATCTGTTGTGTTATACTTAAAAAAATAAAACAATCCAGGACTACCATAGAACAATATTGTACAAATTATTACATGCATTGTCGCATGGCTTTACTTGTATTCCACTGAGTATAACAACCATGTGCCGCCTGGCTCAGGTAACCACAGCAGGTGCTGCAGCAGTGAGCTGGAGGATCAGGTGAGGCCCTGTGTGTGTCATTACCATAGTCCTCATTAGACCCCACGGATGACCTGTAACCAGACACAAAGCCAATCTGAGCAAACAAGCACGCTCACACAAATATTGTCAAGCTTAGCCAGAAAAACCAGGGACTAAACTGTGTTTTGTCAGCAAATTATTTTTCAAATCAACTTGAAATGTTTAAAGCATGCTAAATAATTGTTCATCTGATTTCCCAGATACAATTCCTGTATGTTTTGATAAGCAAATTCCTGGCTTCAAGAGTTAAAGTCCCCCCAAAATTAAAATTCAGTCATCATCGTTTCCGGCATATTTGACTCTTTTCACAAAACAAGATATTTTGAAAAAATTAAATCGGTACAGTGGTCATTTGGCCTTATTGGCTTTCATTGTATACAAAAAAAAAAAACAGTTGAAACATTCTTCAAAATATCTTTTTTTGTATTCTACAGTAGAAAATCATACAGGAACAAAATGCCAATGAGTAAACGATAACATATCTTTCATTTTTGGGTGAACTGTCCCTTAAGGACATCCATTTGTTTTTTTCTAGCATTAGGTTGTCGAATGTGGGAATGCAAATTAAACTAACTGTTTAAGATCCACTGAAAACTATTTCTACCATTCCACACAGCATTGAGCACAAGAGTCATAAGCCGTGATACATAAAATGTGTCTCAAATAAATCTCTTACTATTAGGCAGGGGTATCCAAAATCCTGCTCCTGGAGGGCCACCTTCCAGCAGTTTCGCTGTATTCCTAATTTAACATCACTGGAGTTAAGCTGCCTTGCTAATGGTTCATAACATTTCCTTCTTTAACTGGCCTTTCCTTATCAAGGGTATGAGACACACACACATGCAAAGTATTTCCAGAATGTCAATGCATTATGAATTGCCATCACATTATGGAAATATTTCCTGTGACCTTTTATAGGCTGATGTCATTCACTAAGGAAGTGGACATTACCATGTAAGCCACTAACATCTGATTTCATTCACAGCAATTTCAGCCAGAAATCGTATAAACTTATTCGTAAATTTAGTTTTTTTTTTTTTTTTAACAGTATAAACTGCTGAAGTTTCTTCAAGCCTCATGTGATTTTCTAAAACTCCGGCCATTCAGCATTAAAAAGTGACTCACTGTACTGAAGTGTAAAGTCAGTAAAGTAAATCACGCAAACCGTGTGACAGTCATGATGTTAACAAACATTATGTTAACAACCATTACTTCCACATTAGAAATCAACTCAAACTGGCTACATCCAGCACCTTCAGGCAAAAAGTACAGCAAAAGAGAAGATTAAGAAATCAACTGAGACACTTCCTCTGTATAAGGATCAGAACATGATGACAAATACTGAGGTCATATTTACAACATCACACTTCCTGCTACACATTGTGCAGCTAAGAAAATGGAATTCATATTTTGTGTAATATTGGTTTCTCAAGAATAAAATAATTTAAAACAGATTATGGGTGACAAAATAAAAATGTATTTTTATATACTGTCAAACTTCCCAAAACATTTCCACAGCACAGTGCAACTTTTTCCAAAGGCCGCAATGACAGTGAATGAGTGTATACACAGGAATTGTCAACTCTTTAGCCATTTACACAAGTCTGCTACAACATACAGATGAAAATCTAGAAAACCTTTGAAGCTACAAATAATGGACTAAATAAAGCATATAAACCTTGGACTTATTACCTAGCCACAAAGTTAACTGTGGTGAGGAATTAATCAACTAAGAATATTTTTTAAATGGTTTAATTTGCAGTTTAGAAAACAGTATATTCACAGAAAAAGGTCAATGACCATGACTACTTCTCAGTGTATCCAAAAGGTCTATCTGCAGGAAATGAAAACATTTAGCAGCCTTGTGGTTAGGACTCAAAACAGAACCACCATTAGCTTTTAGATAAAAGCTTTAAAGCTTACTTATCAGCTAAAGCCAGCACCTGAAGTCATGTGTGGGATATATGTGCACTATATTTCTGAAACAAAAAGTGACTATGAAAATGTGAAGGTGTTGTACTAAAATGACTAATTACACAACTTTTTATAGCAGATGCAACAAGTATTTGTGAATTTTAATGTATGCCATCTTTTTCAATATATATATACACACACACACAGTATATAGTAGTCAACATTTGAAGTGGATCAAAAAAGTTCATCAAAATATATATATATATATATCATACAGAACACTGCTGGAAGTGTATTGACAATTTAACATGTGATTCTTGTGTAAACTGCACACAAAAACTGACATTAAAATTGTTACTTGCACATGCAGATCAACAATTCAGATCTGAACAGCTGAAATTTTTCAATTTCACTTTTTAATAAAAAAATAGTTTTCAATTTCTCAAAAGATCACTTTGAACCAGTTTTTATACACACTTGACATCCAAAAAAACAACAACCTGATTTCTCTTATACACTTAAAAAATTTTTCACGTAGATTATTTTTGTCTTTCAATATCTGTCACAAAGTCCATTTGGATTCACCGTATCAAATAAGCAAGTGCAGCTCCGAATGTAGCCACACTACCAATGGCCATCAATGTGTTTCTCACAGCCGCTTCTGTATTTGGGACATGAAAAAATTCCACAAAGCCATCCTAAGGAGAAAAACATACATACACTAGGTAAGAACAGGTTACAAACAAAGCTAAACTTTAAATAAAAGCATATGCAGTCCTGTGATTGGGGGAAAAAAATAAAGAAAAAGAAAAAAAACTCACCCATGCATTGTTTTTGAGCAGCCAGTCCCGCTGGGTTATGAGAAGATAGGAAGAGATCTCTTTCCCCACCAGACTCGCACACTTGCTAAGTCCTTTATCATTCTGATGCTTGCATACCATTGCCCCAAGAGTAAGCAGGCTGGCAATGCGACCCCAGTTTGTGATGCCATCGCTGAAGAGTTCTGTTGCAACAGTCTTGACGAAACTCACATCTTCTCCTTTCTGCTCCAGATTCAGACGTGCAATCATACCTGAAAGAGGGAGATGTTAAAGGCTACTGCGGAATCATAAAGGTCATAAATACGTGGCATGAAGTGGAGCAACCTGCCAGGCCAGGTGCGTGTTGTGGGTGAGGCTGCCATTACACTCTTTAACAATGTTTACCCTGCTCTTGTCAACCCATTAACATTATGAAACAAAGCGAAATGGAAGCCGTAGAGCGCTACTCGCTATAAATCAGCAAGAACTTGTGAAATTACCTTTGTAAGCCAGTTCGTGCTTCACCACAAGACTTTCCACAACCCGATTCATCGTTGCCAGAACCTGTTTATTCCCACTTTTAGAATGAGGGAATCCAGTAAAGTTTTTTAAGAAAATGTCAATAATCTCTCGTGTGTCCATTTCCAGAGCGTCATAGATGGACGTGTATTCATCTTGTACTTCCTCGCAATCCGGCTCAGGCGAGGATGGTACCGAGCCCTGGAGTCCGTTCCCTGTAAACTGGTTCTGGGGTTTCAGTTCTGGCATTACCAGTGGCTTGCGACCAAGCCCGCCCGAGCTGCTGTTGACGTTAAGAGCTGTTATTCCAATGCATGGCCAAAAGCCTTTGTCGTTTAAAACTTTACTCCCAGGGAACATTTTGCTAATTCACATTAATGCTTTTAATCCAATTTATCAACGACGTATATGGTAGGAAACGACGTCCTTCAAAATTAAAACTGAACGCAAATCTACTACATTTTACTTTAGCAAGGCGAAGCGTTGGTGAGAAGTTTCGATGTTATATACAATCGGAACAGGGGCGGGCTGTCTCGCTGTTGACCAATCATTGACGAAAACACGTAGCCTACTGCGCTTTCGAAACGTTAGGTACGTCAGGTTCCGCACGTAAAATGCGCTCCACATTCGTGTAAAGCCCCCAAATCTGTGACAATGAGAATATTTACATTCTCTTCGTAAAACGGCACTGGGTTTGCATCAGCAGAGGCAATATTTCAAATAATTTCATGTCAAAATGTTTCACAGCCTGGTAGGATTAACGTCCATTCAGTTTAGAAACGACCAGAGATCAGTATTCTTATGTTTGGGTTTAAAGATTCCACCCTGTTTTCTTTCCTTGGTCTGCCCATTTTTTCAAAGAGTGGCGCTCCCCCTAGTGAGAACTAGTTGTAGAACAGAATTTGCAGCAAAGAATGTATAACATATGCAAATCATGAGCAGCCAAAGCTTCAGATCTATTACGGTTCAGTTTTTATTTTTCAAAGAGCCCCATTTAATTAGGCAAACAAGACAGAAATTGACACATTGGCAATTAGTTAACACCGGTTGTGCACCGCTAGATATTTTACAAGACATAGGCTATATACAGACAATACTAGCTTCAAAACAGCTCCAATGAAAAATAATTTATATTTATGAGTGACATACTGAGAGTCCACGCACGAGCATCTTTGTTGTTTTTGTTCATTATTAGTTACATCGGTATTGTCGTTTCTTTTATTCTCTAGGCTATATAGAGCAAAACAGGGAATTGCCGTATACTCTTGACAAATGCAATTCATACATTTAATATTTACTTTTTGATGATGCCATAACGCCATAATTATGCCACAAAATATGTTTGTATGCAATTGTTCAATCGATTTACTTACACTATAATAGAAATGTTCTTAATACCACAAAAGTAAACACACGGACGTTATCTACATTTCGTTAGAAAAATAAAAAGGTACCACTCAATGTTTTTGCTATTAATGTAAAACTTTTATTTGAATTTCAGACATAGCTCCAGTATTCACTTTAAACATCTATCTGTACTTCTTGATTCGCCATCCTTCCCTGTAAATATAATTGTGAGAGTCCAGATGACTCTGGAAACTTCTGGAAATCCACTTTCAAACACAAAGTAATTCAAGCAAAACATCTGAAACAATAAAGAATATATTAATGGGGCACGAAAATAAAATAATTAAACACTAAAAGCTTCATAAAGTAAGCAAAGAATAGATCTTTGTGTGTCTAATTGAGAGCGCCTTAAGTTGTAGATTTAGAGTTAATATGTGGTTGAATATCCATGAATATCACATTGCAGTGGAAGGTTTTCAGTCCAGAACTGTCTGAATTTAATCCAACCGATTAAAAAGCTTTCTTTAATTACAATACAAGCATCCTTAACCTCCATATTTACATTTCTCACACTAGAACTGATGATATTCTTGCCAATATGTTGCATCAAAAAGCAGAGAGAGATTCAGATACGCAATATTAACAAATAAAAGATAAAACACAAACTTAGTGAATATTGGAAAGACAACTGAGACCGATAATGCGAGACAAAATGCACAAATATGACACCGGATGCACAGTTTGACTATTTACAATTTGGCTGCAGCACAAAATAAGATTATCTCCTAGCACTGTGCAATAACGCATTCCTCAAAGGAAACATTGTACATCCACACATCATCAAGTGACAAATACTAAGTGCAAGACCATCAAATTTCCCTGATGTATTGCCAATTGCCACCAGCACCTCAACCATACATGAAAAAACACATTCAATCCCTTAGATGTAATTCACCTTTTAGTGAGATTTACATAGTGATAGTACAGTATTTTACCAAGAATAACATGCATTAATATACATGTTTTTGTTAACTTCACATGGCTAAACACTTTCTTTTATCTTAATCTTCAGGCCACATGTAGGCATGTATGTGGTTTTAGGAGGGACAACTTAATTAGACTATGCAAATCCTGATTTAGACACCTGGATTGACTGCCTAGGTTCAGTCTAGATTTGCTCTGTAAAGGTATCTATCCTCATACTTGGACTCTGTAAGGATTGTACAAAGTCTTACAGCCTGGAATAAATGAGCTGTTAAGATCCACTGAGCTGTTAAGTTTCCAATGATTTACAACAGCCCTGTGCAGACTTCTTCGCACTTTGAAGAAGCTACAGGGGTTAATTGATTCATGCCCTCTGAAGAAGGACACTTTGCTAAATGATGAGAAAAGAGTATCTTTTTAAAAGACCATAAAGGGAAAAATGGGTCACAGGATATAATATTCCCCAAAGTCATTTGTATGTCTGAAACCCGAAAATAAGCTGCATGTCAAAGCAATCTATGGGTAATGTTTTCCAATACTTTTTATATGTTTAAGCATGTAACTTTGTCCAAGTTTAAGTAGAGAATTTTACTATTTAGGTCTGAAATATTTTACAAAGATTTAACCAAAGGTGCTGCTCAATTCTGCAAATTTCCTTCCGCACCTCGTTCCTCAGAAAATACATAGATATTTAGGACCAAATCGACTCATTTTGCTAAGACGGATAAGATGATTGCGTCATCATTATCTCAGATGATCAAAGGGGTCATGTGCATTACATATGTGTTGGATATCACAAAATAAATCGCACATTAATCCCATTAATACATACACTGCTGTTAGTGTACACAAAAGCTGAATGACTCCAGACGCCCATAAGCTAAAACACATATAGCCACCACTGTCTATGAACATACTTTATCTTTTAACGCATTCTTTGTGCAATGACAATTTCATTTTCTTAAGCCCCCTTTCATTCTCATGCGACATTCAGAGACCATTTCTGCTTTTGGCTGTTATCATTGAATTGCAACATTCTCTGTTAACACCCAAAAGCTGTGATTACAATAATCTAATCAGCAAGATTGGAACCGCTTGCTCAGATTCTACCATGGAAGGTGAAGGCTGAGAATAGTAAAACAATCCAGTCGTAAGCAGCTGTTGGTTCAACTAAGCCATATTTAGAGAGTGAGAGGTAGAAGTGTGGATGAAGGCTACACAGCTACCAGCCACTCTTTACCAAAACTGATCTGACTATTCTGTTCACTGACTTTTTTTAAAGAAATTCTCATAAAACATTCATTAATTTGTCATTATGGCTGCCAATGTAATCTGGGGTCAATGGCTGTCAAGTATTGTCTATATAGAAAACAATGCCTTTTAAGACAATCCTAAATAATTGTTAAATTATTTGACACTTTTAAAAGCATCTTTTGAACAGCATTTTTTGAAGTCTTCAGGGGTTTGTTCATAATATCACTAATATACAGGGTACACAGAGTAAAGTGCATCATGCTCCACCAGGGCCTGGAGTACCAAGGGTTTAGTTTATCCCTACTCTATGTGGGACACTGAAGAGGTTAACAGAGCTGGGATGCTTAGACCTACTGAAGTGAAACAAAATGACAGCAAAAATCTACACCCAAATTAAAAGAAACAAAATAAATTGATAACCTGTCCTGATGAAGCTGGTCTGCCGGGGCAGGGGAGGTTTTGGAAGTTTGGTAAGAGGGTTTATTCAAAACCTATGGCTGACGTTAGCCAGCCAGTTTACTTGTAACCAATGAGGACTTTCTCTGCGGAAGGTCTTGTGGAGTTGGAATGTGATCCCCGGTGACGATGTTCTTGTCTGGACCAGCTGCGGCAGGCAACTGTTTGTTCTTCATCTTTGCCTTGGCCATGTTGTAATCTCCTGAGTCAAAATACTTTTGCTGGAGACAAATAAAAATTTTATGAAATAATGAAAAGGTCTTGTTTGTTTTGGCTATGTTGTTAAGCACCTGGAACTTCAAAAATCTGTATGAATGAATGCCTTTAAAAAAACATACTTTTTTTTCAGTTGTTGAAATTTTTAAACTTACCCCTTTCTGCAGTTTCTTCATCAGAAAGTCAGAGCCACCTGGCTTTTGACCCAAGTTGGGATACTTCGCTTTCAATTTGGCCTCCTCTGTCCGCACTGGGTTTGAGTTTGTGTCCTGGGATTCCTGAAAAACATTTATTGCGTTGTTATTAGATATTAGTTAGATATTAATTCTTATATGTACACTGACATTGAAAAGTTTGGGGTTAGTAAGATTTTTTTTTTATGATTCTGAAATAAGTCTCTTATGCTCATCAAGGATTTATTTATTTGGTCAAAAATACAGTTAACATTATTATTGTGAAATATTATTACAATTTAAAATAATTGTTTTCTATTGCAATATATTTTAAAATGTAATCTTGTGATGTTAAAGCTGAATTTTCAGCAGCCATTACTCCAGTCTTCAGTGGACGTCATTCTAATAATTTGAATATGTTGATTTGGTTAAACATTAATTATCAATGTTAAAAACAGCTGTGCTACTTCTAAACCATGATACATTTCAGGATTCTTTGATGAATAGAAAGTTCAAAAGAACAGCATTTATTTGAAAAAGATTTTTTTGTAACAATGTAAAAGTGTTTACCGTCATGTGTTTACATCAATTATTACATCCATGCAGATTAAAGGTATTTTTTAAAAGGGGTATGAGAGGATTTTGAATTAGTTTATGTGAACAGTCTTTATAAAATACTGAAAAGTGGTCTGCTTTCATTTAGTCTTACTACTAAAACTATAAAGAGGAAGAAGGAAAAAAACTAATAATCAACACTCAAAACTCAAAATAATAAATCTCACACCCACAATATAATAAGACAACAATAAAACAAAACCCCTTTCATCATGTTATTGTTCTTCCTGTAATTCCCAAAAGGTGTGTGGTCCTTAATCACATTTCTGGGCAAGGTACATCAAGTTTAACTTGGCATTAAATTCCCAGGCGTTTTCTCTGACTTCACTATTGTCTCTGACTTCACATTCATATTGAAACCAAATATTAAAACTACTTGGTTTCAATATGAATGCAATCTAAAATAAACAAACAGCATGTCTGGAAATTGTCACAACTGAAACTATTCAACATTCGAGTTTAGACAATTTGTAAACATCTTCAGATTTCTGTCTTTTGGTGTAAAATTAGATGATTGTTTTGAACAGTAAAACAGCCAAATAGGTCTTCAGGTCTTGCAATAACATAGGATACATAAGATTACAGAAGGTTACAGAAAGACAAACCAGGGCTTGCAAAATTTCTGGTAGCCCTTTGAGCAGTCACTCTTCAGATTTTGGTAGCCCGAAATGAATTTATCTACCCCAAATAAAAAAAAAAATACATTTTTTAATGAAGAACATTGGATAGGACTCAAAACAACAAACAAAAACATTTTCAAAATACAAATATCAAGGGAGAAATTTTATTTCACTATTTACAGGATATCTGCAGGATTTTTAAATTCAAATTTAAGGCTTTTTATGACCTTTTTTAAGAAATGCACAAATAAAATTAATGCCGTACGAATGGGGTAGGGTAATGTCTGGTAACATATTAAACCGTAAAGATTTACAGTTCAGATACAGGTTTTCACAAAACAAAAACGATATATCACATTTCAGCCTTTAAACCTTTTTTAGGAAAAAGTCAAACGTAGGCTATAAATTATTATACTAATTTAAAACATAAATATCTTACTGTCTTAACCCTTAAATGCATACCTCGGGTCTTTAGCGACCCGGGACATCATTCTCAACCCTCTCGCTCATTTTTTAAAGTTAGACATCAACTTTCTTAGTATTCCTCAATCTATTAATTATAAACAATATAACAAGAAAAAAATAGTAAAATATAAAAGAATGCCTGTTTTCTGATTAATTTTTTGTAAAAAGTGTATAGGGTCGCTAGAGACCCGAGGTATGTAAATGTGTAAGTATTTTTTCCTGCACAACTATATTTACATATCTGATGACTCAATATGTGCAATGCATCTTTTTTCCTCAAGGTGGCACTATTTGATACACAATGATGACGTGACGTTTCACTCAGGCATAAAACAAACGAATATCATCAGCAAAAATTGAAGTGGTTTGAATGGCTTTACTGCACAAAAAGAAAAAATTCAATTTTCAGTTGGCAGTTTTTATGAGGCTTAATAGTGTTCATATCAATATCGGAATTATATCGTATCAACTGAAATTAAGAAATATATCATGATATAAATGTTGGCCATATCGTCCAGCCCTATGCTGAATATACTGTGGAAGTGCGCTCTGACGATGACAGCGATGGTAAAATCATCTGCTCAAATTGAACCCTTTGAAGTTTCAAAAGGTAACGAAATATGCTTCAATTTATTCTTCTGTAGTTGTTCTTAAAATATCAAGAGAGTTTTTTGCTATTGCAGCAGTTAGAGATCCATCCGTGCTGGATATATAGATATATATAATGATTGGCGAAACATTCATGCATTTAAGGGTTAATTGTTTAGATTTTTAGAAGGCACATTAGCTTCTTATCGATCCACCGGTTCACATTAACAACTGTACGTGTTTGCTGCTTAAAAACATGGGCCGATTTTCACATTTGTCTGAACAAAAACAGCAGACGGGCTTCTTGAAAATGCAAATTCATTTTCTGCCACTAGGTGAACGAAGCAGCGCTGCATTCACAAACGCTACATTCTCAGGCATTATAAAAAAAGATTAAATGAAAATGCCCTCAAAACTTTTCTGAAGATAGCCAGTTCCCTTCAGAGATACATTCATATAAATACAGCAACGCTGCGTTTTGACTTTGAAACGTGCAGCGCTCTTATTTAGCCTACTCAATCAAATTATAGCCTTCTGAAGTTTAATCGTCACATTAATCCATTATCATCCATTCTTGTCTTTCCGTCCCCAAATGTAGGACCTCTTGAATTATTATTAAGACTTTACTTATTCCATTTAGGTATTTAATACTTTTTATGGCCTTAAATTTGATACAACTAAATGTAAGACTTTTTAAGGACCCACGAGAACCCTGTATTCAAGATAGCCTGTCGGGCCGGGGGTTGATACATTTTGGTAGCCCGACTGAAATACAAAATAGGCTCGGGACGTCGGGTTTACGATTTAGCGTGCCCTGCAAATATTTGAAAACCTACATATTATTGAGAACCTCAGTTGTTTGGTTGCATTTTGAATCATCCTCGATTTTGCCCTAAGCTAAGGAATCAAGAGGGGTTGTGTTTAGACTGAGGCCTTGTAAACAACAAAAAGCAGTCTTTAGAAAGGGCTAATGATATAGACTGCAGTACAGATGTTTAAGTATGCTTCCATTATGACTGCATGACCAGTTTTGCAAATGACTAGGCTGTGTGTCAACAAGGGACAGATCTTTAATGCATGTTATGCTGGCTACAAGACACATACATTTGCATGCAATTGTAGCAGAAAGCAAACTGCAGAAAAACAGGTTTGTAAATCATCATGACACATGCTACACCCTATGAGTCTCTGTGAATCACAAACAATTCATAAAACAGCATTTTAAAACACAAACGCAGAATCTAAACAGTCTCCTATGTGTTTATTAAATTCTACAAGGACCCATGAGATAGCATTTTATTTTTTCCCCAATGATCTAGATCAAAAACATTTTTATCAGGTCTAGGGAACAAAAAACAAAAAGGTTAAAACTGTAGTGTATCATGATGATATTTTTTCCTCCACTGACAGCAATTTCCACACACTGTTTGGCATTCATAAACACAAAACACCTGAAGAAGAAACACTCTGATTAAGTCCAATATGCTGATTCACTAGGATCTATAACAAGTAATTTATGAGCTGCTATATTCAGCACCACCTGGAAAAAAGTGCAAACAAGGCTATTAGGTTCCCCTCAGTCAAAACTACTCTTAAAGACTGCATGCTCTTGGGACTTGTAGTCGTGTCCTGAATCTCATTTGGATACATGTTATTTTAGCACAAAATTGTCAATAATAGTGCGTTTATGAAGGTCTTCTGATTTTTAATAAATTGAACATGGCCCCTTCAAATAAATAATAAGAATCTGGTTATCATAGATGGTTATTCTCTTTCATACAACCCAGCTGACACCATCAGGTTAAAGTAGGTGCGACAAACACAAAAGTGACAGAATGAACCAATCAAACACTGTTATTTCGTGACGTCTAGGTTCACTAACCAATCAAAGGGAGGCTCATGCTTGCAAACTGCACGTCTATCACATTGTTCAACTCATGCAGGTGACAACTCAGAAAACAAATGGCAAAGAGTCAGAGAGATTTCTGTGTTAAAGGTGTCAATGAGCAATAAGCAATCAGTCATTTTAATATTACGGCATTTAGGAGTAATGCCATGATAGTGGTCGAAACTGACAGACACCACAAGAGACTGCAGCGAGCGAGGCGCAGCCCGATTCTAATCCCCACCTGAGTCTCGTCCATCTGCTCCGACTGCTTCTCCGTGTCCTGGTTATCTGATGACATGGCTGTTCGGCGTTTGCTGACCACTTAATCAGCGTGTTTGAGTGTAAATTTTGCCGTCTAATCGTGCCCGATCTGTTCCACCCACGGTGTTCAGTATCAAAATGGCGTTAGCTGCAGTGACGTCATTTTGGAGGACGGTCACGCAGCGGAAGAGCCAATAGGAATCTGGTTTGATGTTTGAGAGACAGGAGAATCAGCCCGTAGATTTCCAATAGTCGTATCAAAATAAATAAGTGACCAATGGTAGGCTACAATGATTTTAAGAGCTCACACAATAATAAACATTATATAGGGTAACTTAAACTGTTAAATGATATTAAAATCTACAGGAGATGTTTATAAAAAATTTTCAATAAATGGCAAGTTTTCAATATGTATCATGTGCCACTATACTATTATCTAGGAAAGACCTTGTAATTACTGTTACTGAAATAGTAATTATAAGGCCTAGGCCTAAGTAGACTTCATTTACAATACATCAGTCATGCATTGGCGTTTAAATATGTGCACCTGCAATCTCCTACCCCAAATATAATATATTTCCCATTCACAATAACCCACTGTGTTCAAGGCTTGTCAATTCATACATCATTTGGAAGTATAATCTGTTTGGAGAACATCTGGTTTAAAGGGGTCATATGATGCGATTTCAAGTTTTCCTTTCTCTTTGGAGTGTGATAAGCTGTTCGTGAATAGATAAGATCCCTAAAGTTGCAAAGACTAAAGTCTCAAACCCAAAGAGATATTCTTTATAAAAGTTAAGACTCGTCCACGCCCTCCTAAAACACCTCGTTATTAGCAACGTCATATGACCCCTTTAAGCTGCATGGAGAGTATCTCACCTCCACTGTTTCAGGTTGCAGGGCTGTTTTGATGCACTTCAAAGAAGATACGTAAGTTTGTGCTTTTGTACTCTTCTGTATTTTCGTAGTTTTCATTTATGTTTAGTAACAAGACATATACTGATCATCACTCACAGTAATCTTTTGACCTTTTGTATCTGCTTTGCTTTATCAGCTGCGCATGGTTCTTCTATCAGTGAGTATTAACTAATGGATTTGAAAACAAACAGTAATCAATTTAAAACCGTACATTGTATGATGTGGTATGATAGTTTATATGCTATATATTATATATGTCTTATTTTTTTTTTATAAAAATGTTACTAATTTTTCTTGTAGATTTACTGTGATCCAGACAATCCACAGGTGATCAGATGTTGTCTCTTTGTTTGGTTGAATGCCATACTTTAATGTTACTTAATCTCTCTTTTAATATAATACAAATGAAATCAGTGCATGACAACCTTGTTTATGTAAGACTTTGAATTTCCATTTTCACTTTTCCATCTTTGCTTTTGCTGCAGAAAGTGACTGAATGCTACCAGTTTAAAATCAATTACACAGAGAAAGGACCTCAGATGGACTTTGAGAGGTGGCATTTCTGTCTGAGCAGTATTCAAAACTAGTTGATGGATATTTACCCCAACATATATAGCTTCCATAGCATTATATACTACCACGTGTCGGCATACTGACTATATTAATGTTGTGCTTTTGAAAATAATTGTCTGTGTTTCCAGCAAAAATGGGCAGAGTCTGACTAAAATGGCCTGTGACAACACCCAGAAATCCAGTATGCTGCTGGTGCGCAAGCTTTACATGCTGATGCAAAATCTCGGCCCGCTGCCTGACAACATCTGCCTCAACATGAAACTCTTCTACTATGATGAGGGTAAATCTATCTTGCTATCTGCCACAGACAGTACCATGTACATGAAGTTGTCCATGTACATTGTTTGTCATTTATTTCTTTTTAGTATGTGATAAGTTATTGTGGTTAACTCAATATTTATTTGGATTATTTAAAAGCACTTCATACTTTGCAGATCTTCACACAACATAAAGTTAATCAGAGATGCACAAACAAGGGCCTGTGGCCCAAATTTGTCCCGTGATTACCTTTAATTTGGCTTGCAATATCATATCACAAGAGGAGGGAAAAATAGGAGAAAATGCCCTTGACACATATCTTCATTTCTAATTTATCTTTATAACATTTTTGTTTCATTTTTAGATTGCAATGTAGAGAATATGCGTTTATTTGATTAAAAATAGAAATTCAATATAATATAGTTGGATTTAATGCAACATTTACTTTTGGCCAACAGCTCTCAATCTAGTTTGTTTTTTGTTTTTTTGATTCAGTGTCATTCAGTGTCACTGTGTATTTGTGTTTCAGTGACAGCTCAGGAGTATCAGCCACCTGGCTTCAAGGACGATGACAACGAGACGTTGATATTTGAGAGGGAACCAGTAAATCTGACCATGGGAGAGGTGGTCACACCTTTTCATAGCCTCAGAATGAACGTCACTACTGAGCGCAAGAGACTTGAGCCGGTGAGATAAAGAAGCTGTCCAGTGATCTGTCTGGAAGAAAAAAATAAATAAAATCAATGGTGTAAAGCAGTGATCAAAATTTTTTTTATGTGCGTGAACAGTTTGATGAGGAGGAGGAAGTATGTGTGAGTACAAAATGATCTTTGAAAATGTTTGAAGATGGAATGATGTCTGAGACCTCAGTTCAGCAGGTGGGGTCTTTTTAATAATTAGCTGATATGTCCTTATTTCCTTTTCTGCCTTACCTTTACAAAATGTGAGGATTAATCTCAAATGATGGACTTTTTTGCTCGCAGGAGTGTATGACAAAGGAGAAAGTCATCATTGATGCTGGCATTGAATACTCAGGTGAATATTAGACTCTGCTTTGCCAGTTTAATGAGATCAGCATGAGTCTAAATCAAGGAAAATGCAACCAACTCCCAGCAACTTTTGCTCATGGTCTGCCACCTTAACAGAAACTCAGGAAAACTCACAACAGGCTCACAGAAGCAGCAAGGAGGATTTTGACATAACAAATGCAAAGGTAGCGTTACACAATTCACCACACACACAGGTAAGTTATCAGTCTGCTCTAGTTGCCTGTGTATGAGAGGAAGTTGTATTTAATTATGTGATGTATATTTGAGATGGACAGTCTGGTAAACAAAACTGCTGATCTTAAGGTGAACGCAAGGAAGACCAGGAGCGGACGCATCTTTGAGCCTCAGGTAGGAAATACACAGCCCATGGCCCATATCTGTATCTTGTCGTGTTGGTTGGACTTTTATTACATCGTTTACCAGTATAATCACTGGAATTTTGTGAACAGTTTTAAAATAAAACTGTTTAGTTTCATGTAACATGTCTCATTCTGATGACTATCATGCAATCAGAGCCAGGAAAAATGTGAAGTACACAAATTAGTCATTTAAAAACAGGTTATTCAAGATTTCTTGTTCTGATTAACTAATTTACTATAACTAAACACACTTCCTCTGTCTGTAGATCTCTCAGTTAGTGTTCCCGCTGAGCCAAGATCCCCAGCCATCAGCCCCGAAGAGGCGCAAAGTCAGTGTACCTAAATAACATTGACTTGTACACTCACAGTATTTCTAGTACAGTCACACAGCAACATACTAACATACACATGCTGTTTATTCATTCAGTTGCAGAAATGCATTGTTAACAAGTTTTATGGTTCAAGGGCGTGTCATAACTTGAGGAGTGCACAAATGAATTTTGTATTTTGTTATTTATGTTAGTTTTCTATCAGATACATTTGTGCCTGGAAATGTTAGTAGCATAACAAGATTTTAGTCACTGCATACAGTACCATGTACAAATGTAATGAGTCCACTAGATGGCAGCATGTACTGTGCCTGAGTATATTAAAACAGTGATTCCAATAAAATAACATGCAGCCTTCTTTAGTAAAGCAGACAGTTTTATGGATATACTTGAACCTGAGTGATATAATATAATAAATAATGAATTTTAGAATGTATGTCTAGAGAAATACAGATATTAGACTCATTTGAACAGAAAACTAGATTTGGCTTTGTTTCTTGATGCTGATCTTTACAGCTAAGCGACATAACATCTTCCCGTGCGGTGAATTTGTTGAATTGTCTAAATATATAAAAAAATATATTATAATTATTCTATAAAATTATTAGTAACATATGTCTGATGTAAAGTTGAGAATAGTGGCCTGAATCTTCCAGTATATTTGCACCTGCTGCAAGCTTCTTGAAGCTAAATCAGCTGTTTAAAATATGAGTTTTTATATTATTTTTTTAAAAATCTACACAAATAGCAAAGTTTTTAATTTTTTGCAAACATATTCTAAAATTCCATGGTAACAACAATATGCAGTAGTCCATGTTTAAAATAGCGTTTACTTTATCTAGTTACAAAATATTTGTTGGCTCATTGCCTGAGTGTAAGAAGTTGGCTAAAGACAAAAGCATCTAAAATTGCATATTCCAAATATGCAGTTTCAGGCTTGGCTGTCTTTGGGACTTGAATTGTCACTGATCAGAAACCACAGACGCCTCTTTGCCCATTCACGCAAGAGCTTTTGGTTTTGACATCAGAGTTTGGTCCATTTAGCATCTTCTCCTCCTGGTTCACAGCAGCTGCTAGTAGTCATGTTTGTACTCACATGGATGAAGCAAACATCTCAGTTTGGACCTAAAAGTAAAATAAAAAATGAGACCTGCAGGGGGAGGGGGAGGGTAGTGGAGTGGAGTTTGGACCAAGCAATCGAACCAAGTTAGCTGCTGTCAGGCTGTGTATCTGTGTGTGGGGGGTGATATCACCCCTCAGGGCTTCTGAGAGGGGGGCTTCGGACATTTAGCAGGGGACTGTGATCCCCTGACCTTGCCAGAAGGGTAGAAAATGTTTTGCTGCTGATTAGCAATTCTTCAGCTTAGCAGCTTAGCTAAACTTTTAGTGCAATTTATTTCTTTTTTTTTTTTTAAAGAAGGCAAACAAAAATGGTTAAATAAGAAGTTCACAATGCAATAAAACACAGAGGATCATTTCAGTTTGATTGAAATGAATACACACAGCCTTCCTGATAGTGATAGTTTTGATAGTGTATTTATTTTTTCCATTATTCATTCTGTAATCATTTATTTACCCCTAAATGGTACATATTAGTACTTGAAAAGTTCATATTAGTACCCAAAGTGTACATATTAGTACCTTTTGAAAGCTGAGAGAAATCAAATATGAACTAAAATTGTACCTTTATCTATGACCAAACTAGCAAAGCAAAAACAAAAATGCATAGGATCTTTTAGAGTGGCTTCCACTTTTACCCTATTGATTGGTATCCATGAGATAAAATGTGTCACGAGTCACGAACAAGCTGAATTCATGCTTGGCATCTCTCAACATGACAGCGTTTTACACGTGTGTTCCTTCTGAAATAGCAGTACCGTACACTTGACCTTGGGCTGGATGTATGTGCCTGTGAGCTGCGGACCATCACTCCTGTCAATGGAGTGCATGTCTGACCTTGGGCTGTAGTTACAGACTTGGCACTGACTAATTTCAGCGCTGGACTTCATATCGACACTGCAATCGCTAATATGTTGGATGATAAATAACTATTGACTGTGAAGTGAAGGGAGCTCCTGGACAGGACAGAGTGGCTCACTAACGTGGACCTCGAATTGAATACAGAAACTGCCCACCCATAGATCCAGGACCAGTGCTATCTGTCTTACATTGAACTACAAACAGCATTTAAAAAACAAAAACGGATTTTGGAGGATTTCATCTGTAGTCTAGATGTTCAGGTAGATCAACTTATGTTGCAAAAAATAATAATTTATACATTGATAATTTAATAATAGTAATGTAATACTTTATTAAAAATAAAAGTAATAAAAATTATTACAACAAAATTCTGTCATATATGCAACCTCATGTTTTTCTTTCTTTTAAACATTATTAGATCCCACTGACTTTCATTGTATGGAAAGATATATATTTTTTTAAATATCTTCTTTTGTCCACAGAAGAAAAAAGTCATAGAGGTTTGGAACTACATGAGGGTGAGTAAATGATAGAATTTTCATTTGTGGATGAACTATCCCTTTAAAGGTTAAACATAACCCACTAAGTGGTTATGTAAAACTTTGGCACCTAAATTTACACTTTTTACCCAAATGTGATCAACATCAACTATGATTAATTCAGCAATACATCTGAGCGCTTTGAGAACAAAGCAGACCCAGTGAGAAACCACTCTTTAAACAAAATGTAGGCGAGCAAAATCTTATATCGGCGAGCCAAGAATTTAAAAAAAAAGGCATAGCGTCTGACAAATCTCAAAAATACAGAATCACGAATCAAGACACAGCTTTATTAGGATGCAGTGTGCATGTCTGCTCCATAAAGTTTTGAAGTGTGCTGCCAAGTTCACTGCAGGCTCTCACTCTCACAACATATGCAGAGTGCTGGAGGCAGAGAAAACTTTCCCTCCATCACTCCTCTCTCCCACATGCCCGGCCCCACCGCGCCTGACTTCTGCCCCGGTAGCCGCTGTGCCTCTCCGAGTGGATGGGTTTTCATCTCGCAGGGATGCGAGGGCAGCCACTCCGCTCCCCCTCACACTCCGTCCCCGCGGAGCACAGATTTACATTTGTACCGCTGCACAGAGCTCAGTACTGCAGGCGAACAGCCAAATCCATGCAGTACTGACTGAAACACAAAAACAGCTTGAGCGACTTCAGTCGAGTCTCTAGAGATCAAGGACTCCTCAGCCTGGAATGATGGAAGTTTATGCATGTAAAAAAAAAAATTATGTCAGTGGACAACGTACTTAGCAAACATATGGAGTGAGTCAGTATACTCTAAAATATTTGCTTTAACACAAATAGAACTGTACTAATGTCTTGAATGTAGGCAATGCAAAAAAAATTGCAATTTTAAAACTTACAGTGGTAGTATTTGTATGCTATCTTAGTCTATATATAATTAATAATATAAAACTAATTTTATATGTTCACTCAAGAAGTCAAACCACTCAGTAATTCTTCTTAAACTCACACTAGGATGTTGCTGGGGAGGACAGAGGCAAAAAGAAAGATGTAACCGACATCTCAATCATTTGAGTAATTTTTCTGAGCAGTGGCCATAAGCAAGGAAAGGGCCTTTGTCCTAGACTGGCTTTCATTTCCAGCACTGCAGGAATTGTGATGGCTGTGCCTCGGGGCAACAGAGGCACCTTAAGGAGCCCCACCTTTAAATCCAGTGTGCTGTGACTCCAACCATGACCCCTAGCTGGAGGGATCCCTCAGGCCAGATTTAAACGAGCTCCCGCAGGTCCTTCTGCGTGCCTCGCTCTCCTTCACAAGCTCTTGCTGAACCGGTGCAGCCTGGTCTTCCTGGCCATTCTGATTTGTATAACAGTCAAAGCAATGGCTGGAATAAATGGCCTCACATTAGGTAAATGCCGTGTGGCTGTTCGCATATGCAGACGGGGAGATGTGCGGAAAAATCAGATGTGACATTTTCCATGCTGGCGAAAGCGAATTCCGTGTGGGCCGCAGTACAGTGCATAGCAATTCTGGAGTGCCGCACAGTACTTGTGAATAATACAGGCAAAGTGTCATGATGGCTGTCTATTGTTTTTAAGAGCGTGCCTCTCGGTCCAAGAAGGAACTGATTTTTTTTCTTTGCATTTGTGACGAAATAGATCCAGCTGTCTTTTTACCATTGTTTCAGGCCTCTTCCTTTTCTTTTTCCTTCCCTCTCACTATCATTACCACTATTATGGAGGCCATGAGAGACGCAAGGCAAAAGAGGCATACAATATTGATCCACACCCATCACCACACAGAGAAAAAAACGTGGGTTCAGGGGCTGCACAATTCAGACTGGACAGTGCGATCGATAGGATGCTCTATCAGCCGTTGCCATGGCAACTCACAGAGCAAGGACAGAACCCCCACGTTTATTTACACCTGTCTTCTACTCCCTGCCACCTTGCGCTAGTCCCTGCCAGCTTGTGCTGGTTTAAGTGCCACTCAAAAAGGGTAAATATTATACAATTTTATATGTTATGTATTTTTTTATTTATTAGTTTTTTTAAATAGTGCAATTTGCATTTTTCTCCCCAAAAAGCGTACAGTATATGATTTTGTTGGTGTACACAATATCCAATGTCTTAATGGCCACTATTTGCCTGTGTTCTTTGCACAAGTGTATGGGTCTTTACTTTACGTTGACCCCAATTTGCAGGTCAAGTAAACATGTTCAATGCTGCAGCCGTTGACTTGATGAGGTCATAAATGAGAGCTGGAGAAGAACAGTCTAAGGCTTTTTTCAATGAGCGCATGAGTGAGCAAAACACTGCAACAAAGAGCGGATCAGCAGACTACTTAACACTAGTAGCCAGCCAATTTAACACAAGAATCCTTTTAGACGCAATCTATGCGAATATGGATTGCATTCAAGGAGTCAAATGGCTAAAAAAGGTCATTACATAGAACATTAGTTAATTTGTATGATAAAGTTAAATAACATGCTCAGTAAAGCTGATGTATAATAATGTATAATCAGCCTACACTCTTGTTAAAAAAATTAAGGTCCTAAAAGGGATTTTTCACAGCAATGCCATAGAAGAAATATTTTGGGTTCCCCAAAGAACCTTTCAGTGAACAATACTTAAAACAACAATTTTTTCTTAGTGTAAAGAACATTTTAATAATCTCTAAAAATGGCTAAAATAGGGATGCATGGTTATTTTTGACCAATTCTGATCATCTTTTAAATTTTATGTAACTAATAAATAGCCAAAATTTAAATTATGCACTATTTTGTTAAAATAAATGAAAAATAAAACACTAAAGACTAAAATGCATCACTTTAAAAGCTACATTTATGCATCACAATATTATACTGTACAGTAGGAAAAATGGATGTTCATTTCAAGATTAACTAAAGATTACTTTTAACAGTGTTATTAAATTATTATCGCTTTTAAAGATCAACTTTCAGTGAGTTTTAGATTACGGCAAAGGTAATCTAAACGTAAAAACAGGAGAAATGAGCATGGATAATTAAATATCCAATATCAACAACACAGGTGTGTGTGTGTGTGTGTCTGTTTAAGTGTGTTTAAGTGTGTAAGCATTACCGAGGCTGTTTTGAGCTCCCTATTGCAGTGTTAGGAATTGAGGTGAGCCCCATAACCTCACACACATGCACAGCTCTGACCGTCAACACTCTCCCTACCCCCTTCAATCAATGGTAGTTTCATGTGGCCTCTCAGCCCTGCAGTGACGTGTGTGTGCGTGTGTGTGTGTGTGTGTGAGTGACCTATTGATTTATTGACTGTCTAGCTCAGCCTGGCCCATGGTACTGGAAAGCCTGGAGCTGTGGATCATTGGACCTACGGTTGCTGGGGTACTTTAGCCAAAGTAGCCGCAATGCTAAATGACACAGGTTTGCCGCCAGGTGATAGATTCTGTCACAGTGCTTACGAGAAAATGAAATCTAAGGTGGAAATCAGGTGTCCAACTAAAAGGGGTCATTGCTAACTTGTTAATTGTCTCTCTGTGGGGTCTATGTATGCCAGACCCACTTCTTTTTTTCTTCCAATTGCTCTCATCCACACCAGGCTATTAAGCTTTTCTCTCGCTCACATGTACCCACACACACTAGGACACCCCCTGAGGAGGCAGGAGAGTGGCGAGTGTCCAGCTGTCCTCCACCCCACCCCATCCCATCCCTGCCTTTTCACTGGTCAGTGTAGGCAGATTGAGGGGGCCTAAGGGTGTGTGTGTGTGTGTGTGTTTGGGGAGGTGCCATTAGCACAGAACTAGTAGCAGCTGGCCTTAAAGGATGGATTCAGTGTCAGTGACCTGGCCATAGTGTCCAGCTGAGGGTCACTGCTCTGCCCTCCTTCAGGCACGTGCTGACCAGCCATCTGTGTGTGTGTGTGTGTACAGAACGGCCTTTTCTTTTTGAATGGAGTGACAGTTGCCTAATCTCAAGCATGTTTGTGAGCAGCTGGCCTGTTTGGCCTTTATAAAATGTCTGTGAAGCATTGCTAGGGTCATCTTTTAGAAGGAAACATTAAGGTCTGTTTACACCAAGAATGATAACTTTATTAGCGTCCACATCAACAGACAATAACACTGTTTTTTATAATTGCACACTACAGGTCATCTGCCACTTTGAATGCTCTTAAAAATTCTCATTGGCTGTCAATGTTTTTATCATTTATCAGGTGGAAAAAAACTGCTCTGAAAGTTATTTCAATACTGTTCCTCTTTGTTGTTATCATTGTGGTGTAGACTTCCCTATTCTAGAAGATTTGGAATGATTATTAAAACTTTAAAGTTGTAGTTATCGTTATATAGCGTAATTTAACAGATGTGAGGGATAGACTTGAAGTATTTACAATGGCATGCACTACATAAAGGTCCTAGATCATCTAAATTTCACAACTTTCAAAACTGTTTTATGGAGTTTTTGTATACCAAATGTTTTTTTAGAAAGATGTTTCATCAGATTGGATTGACGAAATTCGTCACATCAGATTTGTTGTTAAGCAGCTTCAGAATCGAGTGAACACACTGTGCTTCTATTCCTCACAGCCTCGTTTTCATTCCTGTCAAAAATTAAATATGATGCTACCCTGACTAAAGTCTATGGGTATCATCCTTAGCGTGAACAGGACTTTAGTAGTTATGGCATTCTGCTTAAGTCTGGCGTCACATGGATCCAAACAGTGTATGACTGGCAAAAACAACCAACAAACGGTGCTAATATACACCTAAGGTGTGAGGTAATACTACAAAAAATCATGATCCTAACCTTATCTCCAGACTGATTCATCTTTTATAATAATTAAAATATTGTCCAGGATGCCGTGAGCCTGTGGACTGTAGTGTACACTGTGAGTTTTTAAAAGCTTAGCTCAAATGTATGATATGAATGAACAGTGCTTATAGATGGTTGTTAAACTAGTATTCTCAACTGAGGTACATAGAGGCTTGGACATGGTAACACTGTTCCTTACGTCATGACTTAACAAGCAGATTTGGTCATCGAGGCCGTAAGTTTCATATTGTGGTGCCTCCTGTGTCGGAAATGATAATTAAACTCCTCTTGGATGATGTCAGGCTGAAGGTGCGGTAAGTGAATTTCAGCACAGATGGAGTCGAGGTGGATGTGCCTTTCATCCTTCTGGTCTTCTTCACCCTTCCATTCAAGGTGCTGCAGTCCCTGATCGAGGCACAGATTAATGCTGCGTCTGCACCCATCCATTCTTTGGTCCCTTTCTCCACCCCCCTCTTTTCATTACCTCCTTCCACCCTAGACGTGCTGCCTCGGACTGTTTAAGGTGATTGGATCATGCCCATCCTCCCCTTGTGGTCAGCTGGGGCTAGAGGTCAGTGACCTTTTCTTGATTGGATGAAATTGAATGGTCATCGTTGCCCTTTGTTGTCATTCAGTGGAAAAAAAAAAGGCTTTAGTGTCAAAAGTGTTTGGGCACACTTTTTTATCCCTAACAATTTTTATTTTTATGCTGAGAGGCTTATTATACTTCAGTGTTTCCTGTGCATGTGCAAGCATGACAGTCCATTTACAATGCTTTACCTTACAATACTTAAATGGAAGCTTAATGTATAGTATACAGTATAAAATGATGCCATGACATAATTCTTAAAATGGATGACTGTAATTCTGGGAATCTATATTAACGTTTCTTGGAGTGTGTGTAATATCTGCGACAGCCCCTGGTCTTTGACCTCTGACTACCAGGCCTCTGTTGCTAGGTGACTGGTGCATTTCTGATGGAGGTTTGTGGGGTGACAGTGTAAAGGGGGGTCAGGGGGCAGTGGTCACTCTAAACCCCCCTAGGGACGCTCACACACACACACACGCCACATTCGGAGAGAGCCGTGAGCTGAAACACAAGCTCACATCAGTGCCAGAAATATGATAGGGCTTCTGTCATATCAGAGATTTCTGGAACATGGCACTTAGGCTTTTTCAATTAGTCATTAATAATTCCAAGCATGTAAATAAGCCACATTTGATGGGTAAAGCTTAATGATACTGTAAATGATACTGTATATTTTTATATAAGAATGTTTGCCTAGTGCCTCTAACTTAAATGGATAGGTGACACAAAAATGAAAATTCTGTCATGTACTTACCTTCAAAATATCTTTTCTCACCTTTATATTTTCTTTTGTGTTCCACAGAAGAAAGAAAATAAGTCATACAAGTTTGGAACGACATGAGGGTGAGTAAATGATGACAGAATTTTCATTTATCCTTTTATAGGAATATTCTGGGTTACACAAAATTTACTTTGAATTATTCCCCTATTCTTTAAAAAAAAAAGCTAAATTTTGAGTTACGTAAAGCTGCAATATGTAAACTATGCATTACTAACTTTGCGTTTATGTCCCTTTTTTTTTCAAACTTTTGTTGCCATGACAACATAATGCCCTAGAATGACTGTAAAAACATAATAATAATACATAAAAAATAATACATTTGAACAGAAGGATCCATTTAAATGCTTTTATAAAATATAAGCTTTATATTTATTATTTTAAATCATTCAAAATTGCCCCCATTCACTTCCATTGTAAGTGCTTTACCATAACCTTGATTTTTAAAAATAAAACGAGGGATGCGTCAGATTTATTTATTTAATGCCGCAAGTGCTATTGATTAAGCTAACTTGCACTGAACACAGAAAATTCCTTTTACAAAATCCTTACATTTTACCGTTTATCTAAAAAAGGCTTGCATGTTATATTTTAAAATGCAAGAACAAAAAACACTTATCTTTAGAAGAATGAACAATTTATTTTCTTTGATCTGGCAGCTCAACATGCAAACAGTTAAGGGTCAACCAAAGGCAATCATAAGAGGACTTTGCTATGTACACACTGCAAAGAAACTATCATAAAGTAAAAGCATGACCGCAGGTCTGCAGAATGCCAGCTTTAAAGACCATTCTGTTTGCATGTGTGTTTAATGCCCCCCCCCCCAAAACACTTTCTTCTGTAAGGGAATTCTCTTTATCCTCTGCCATTTTTCTCTTTCCACCCTGTTGGATTTGGCCATTTGTAGTAGAAGACCTTACCCTGGGGTGAAGAACACACATACTCACTAAGAGATATTTTTACTCTTGGTGTTGATGTAGGAATACAAGTGTATCACCATGTGCTTTGATACAAGTGAAAAAAGCATCCCTATGTGTTTGCGGATCCTGAACACTTAATAAAGCAAATGCTTGAATTCCCTCTGAAATATCCATTTCAAATCTTCTCCACACTTCAGATTCCTTAAAGATACCAGTATCGGGCAGATCACTGTTAAATGATTGAACTTAAACTAAAGTAATTATTCTCTCAATGTTTATTTCTGATTATTATTTAGACTTTGTGCTCATAGTGTGTGTACGTGTGTGTGTGTGCATCAAAGAGAGAGGGGAGCGAGGCTGAGATGGTATCAATCGCCAGGCCATTGAACGTATTGATTAGTTACCTTTCTTATTAACATGCTGATTAAAAAGAGCAGGAACAGAAGCCGCATCTAGCCACACACACACACACTGAGACAGGCAAGACGCCACATCGCCGGGCAGGAAAGCAAAATGAATACAGGACAAATTGTGTGGAAATAGACGGATGCAGGACACAGAAGGGACTCACAAAATGGGGGATTTCTAGGGACAGGAGAACATTGTCTTATGATAAAATTGAAGATGGCATGGTGGACGTGGATGCTAGCCCCCACAGAGAGGAACGAAGAAGAGAGATGGGAACAGGGAAAAAATGGAAGAGAGAGGGGCAGGGAAAAGGATGCTAACCGACTGCAAGGCAATCTCAGACCCTCCACCCACCCAGCATCTATTAGACTGGATATACAGAACACACACTCTTATAAACACATAAACAATGTGAAGGTTCACTTCACACACTCACAAGCTGAGGAGGTGTGACTGTTCTGCATGGACAAAAAGCAGATCATTGTGTTTGCATAGATGTGTATTTATATTGTGCAATGCATGTGGGTGTTTGAAGTGCTCTGCTGTTGCTGTTGTTATTTTGTGGAAAGAACGTGCAATGGAAATGTAGGCAGAATCATGGTCAGTGTTGTGAGGCAGAGGATTTTTTAGCGTTAGAACTGAGAGCTGCTGCTTTTAATTTGGAGAAGGCCTTGCATCTTAAATAATTTTAGTAACACAAATCTAACCCTATAGAATTTTAAAAGTAAATTTAAATGTTGTGAAATTATTTAAATATGCATCTATTAGACTGGATATACAGAACACACACTCTTATAAACACATAAACAATGTGAAGGTTCACTTCACACACTCACAAGCTGAGGAGGTGTGACTGTTCTGCATGGACAAAAAGCAGATCATTGTGTTTGCATAGATGTGTATTTATATTGTGCAATGCATGTGGGTGTTTGAAGTGCTCTGCTGTTGCTGTTGTTATTTTGTGGAAAGAACGTGCAATGGAAATGTGGGCAGAATCATGTTCAGTGTTGTGAGGCAGAGGATTTTTTTAGCGTTAGAACTGAGAGCTGCTGCTTTTAATTTGGAGAAGGCCTTGCATCTTAAATAAATTTAGTAACACAAATCTAACCCTATAGAATTTTAAAAGTAAATTTAAATGTTGTGAAATTATTTAAATATGATTCAACCAGTTCCAAACGGATTCATCTGGATTGCATCATCTTGTTGCTTTGAAGATATGTCGTTAAAATTTGGCTAAACTAAAGGTTAAAATGCTATACTTGTTTTACTGCGTAATTCAGTCAAATTTAAACGCTATGCATTAGCATGTAAAACATTAGAAATCATATACATTATATATACGGCCGGTTGTTAGACTCCGATTGCTAATAATTCACAATGGTAATAATAGATTGCCATCCTGCATGTTGGCAGCACGCCCACGTTTCCCAATCGATAAACAGAACCAGAAACAAGGACGCGCGCCCATTTGAATGCGGTTGAACACTTGCTGTGGCTCAGAGGTTAAATCGTAAAATCATAGAAAAGATTATCCTTTAACATTGTGGCTGAGTTTGTGAATGTGACTAGTGAAACGTTACTGAAAGCTGAATATGAGCATGGCCTTAGTAATTCGGCAGACTCCCCTAATACAGTCTTGTCTTCATATTTGTGAGAATTATAAATCTCTCTCAGGATTTGTCTGAAAACCGTTTATATATATATATATAAACCTTAAATACCTTTACATAAATAAAATAGGCTACTTACCTATATGTAGGCCTGTAGTAGGCCTGTAATCTATATTTGTATGTTTAATGTAGGCTACTTGTACATTCTAGTGAATAATTCAATCTCCTGATTGACTTGTATTGAAACGTGCGGGACAAAAGAATTGAGTTGTGTATGGCATAACCAGATTTATCATTTTAAACAAAATAATGCATCTAGTGGACATTAACAGCGGTACCATGAAAATTCTCTTAGGATCGTGTGTAATATAAGATGTATTTAATTTTTTTTTTTTTTACAGTTAAAAATTTAGACTTTACACTTCATCTTAAGTTTGAACTTTACAACGCAAAATCTAACAAAGCAAAATTAATATTGACGTTCATGAACACACTGAAGTTATTTCATGAATTTCTGTAGCCTACCTTTTCTGATGCAGTTAGCTATCCCAGAAAATTAAATATTTTGCAAATGTAATTTTAAATAGGCCTATTTATATATATCATTTATAGATATGTCATTTTAAACGTTTAGAATTGTTATTACATAATCCTCCGTTTGACTTTTGGATAATTGTAAAGTTACAGTGTACCATTACGAACAAAGTTTTATTTTCATGTGATTTTCCGTGTTTCATGGGCCTGCTCTCAGTGAGGTTCGGGCATGTTAATTGAGTTATTGACTTTTTTATCGATCGACTTGTTTTTTATTATTCACCATGCGTCCTATTATTTTTGGATGAAATTAATTTGTTCTAGCTCTACTTTATATTTTGCATTTAAATGAACGGTTTAGTTTGTAGGACGTATCATTTTTAATTCATTTAATTTTGTGTTTTCAGACGTGTTTCCGAAGCCAAAATATTAAGACTTAGGCTATATACAATATTAACACTAATACAGGAGACAAAAACGCAAGAAAACAAATATGATATCAAAATATAACAAATATCAGCAGAATGTAAATAATGTAGCTCACAGTTTTAGTAACCTCCTTGCACACTTGTCAAATAGGTTAAATTGGTTAAATTTGAAAGGAATAAGTGACATATTTGTAGGTTAACAGTAAAATATTTTTACTGAATTTCATATTTGCTTTTTTTTCCATTGCATTAGTAGATTTGCGTTAGTTCTTTTTATTTTGTTATATTGCTTATGGTTTTTAATAAAGTCTTCAATTGTAATATTTTTGTCAGGCTAGGCTATATGATAAAGCGCTGCAATCAAAAGACAAACAGATAAACCTGGATGAACAAAAACAGCTAGATTAAGGGAAATTATACTACTGCACAAGTCATTTTTAAAACAGTATTATAATTTTTTTTTAAATCCATGGTAACTGTTATAAGGCTACAAGTATAAACACTGATTATTATTAACCGTAGTTTTCTATTAAATGTTTCTATAAATAGCCTACTTGTGCTGTATGAAGCCGATGTTTCAACAGAAATGTTTTTCGCTTTGTATGTCTCCTCACAAAATAAATGCACAAAATAAATTCTAATATTCTGGCACAAAGGTTTCAAGAACCACACAAACAAGACAGTTTTCAAATGTGATCAATAACATTTATGTCTTTGAGATTTATCAGGAGGCCGAAAATACCAAGCACGGGAAAACAAATCTGGCTATACCTCCTAATGCATATTACTTTTTGTGTATTGCATTGAATTTTAAAGTTATTCCTTACATACCATAAAAATATTTTTATATAGGCTACAGTATATAAAATATTCTGTATATAAATATATAATATTCTGATGAAGAGCTTTTAGGCTCGTCACCTGTGGTAAGAACAGAAATATTTTTCTACTTTTGGAGCTGCATGTGGTCTGCCAACTTTGATCTTCCTAATATACAAAAATTTGCAGAGTCAGAAGAATGCTTTCGTTGTAGAAGTAGAAATGCCGCATGTCCCATATTTATTCAGTTTTACACATTTAGGCCACTACATAAAATACATTTAATTGATGTTATGTGCTGAGTGATATGAGCTATTTAACACCGTCTCTACTGTCTCAAAGACAAGATGGTAACATTATGATGTGAAGGAGTTAAACTCTTCACTAACTTTCTTAGAACACACACTGTTCGTGTCTGTCTGCTTAGCTCTGCTCGTTTAGCCTCATGTACGTGTTAACCTGCAGGCCTCTTGATACACACCGCTCGGGAGAAGGACGTGGCTCGACCAAAGGCTCAAAGAACTCAATAGACAGGTATAAATAATTTACGAACTCGCTGGCCGCTGTTTTGATTTCCACGGTTTGTTTTGAACAATGTTTGATCATTGATACGTGTCCCAGACAGAAAAAGAGAATTGGTTAATAATATTCTGCAATGCCTTACATGGTGCCGAACTTGTAGCTCTCAGATAAGCTCTCCCTAATTCGTGCAGACATCTTAAGAGAGCTATGAAATTATTTTGAAAGAATAATATTAATAAACCTTACTGGTGCACCGGAAAAAATGCATGGTAGGCCTATGTCAGAAAGGAGACGTCATTGTATAGACAACCATCCATTATGATCATTGATTGTTGTTTATCTATATTATATTTTAAACTATTTTTCTTGGTTTCCTTGCTGATGTTGAGTTAATATCGCGATTCACCTGAATTTATTGGCACAAATTGTCCCATTCAATCAACATGCTATGCTGGATTTTTTTAGATGGCTTTAAAATGCACAAGAAAATTATTAAAAGGTTAAAGGAAAATTCTTGTGTTTTATTTATAAGAATTGCAAATTATAAAGGGTGTACAGGCTTATCAATGCACTCTGAAACGGGTTGTTTTCATATCTTCTATCGAGCTCTCCAGCCGCAGTGAGTGAACTTTCACCTCGACCCTCAAACAGTCCTTTTTTGCGGTAAGAGCTGACCATTTTACCTCCAGCCACACACTCTCCGCACGCACGCACGCACGCACACACACACACACACAAGCGCACGCACGCACACACACACACACACCCCTCCCTCACTCGGCCCTGCTCAGCGCGGATCGATAGCGCAGCATCTGCTGCGGGAAGACAGCGGTCCCACATCGCACTGGAAATTTTTTTCAAGCGCTAGAATTGCTCATCTCTAAAAAAAATAATCTGACAGACAGATAGGCCTATGATTAACATTCCAACTTTCAAACACCTATCGCATAAACATCCACCTCTCTCTCTCTCTCTCCGACACACACAAACTCGCGGCGCATAAATTACTTTTTTTTTTTAAATGGACACATGACAGAAGTGTAATTTTGTTGCTTATTAGATCGCGCGGTTTAGGAAAGGTCGCGTGTAGGCCTACTCTTAGAAAGAGGGTCATAGGTGCGCACTGGATAGATCAAGTGCATTGATCTTGTTTAGCACTTCTGTGATTGAGGAGCAAACTCTTATGTTAATTGTCCACTACACTGTAGGCTGACAGTTGATAAGAACCACTTCTTGTCACTACGCTTTGTTGCTTCAGTTAATTGTCCTTAGCTTGGGGAAATGAAACTGTTGTTAATAGTACATAAACGCTTTGGCCTTCTAATTAAACAGTGTTTTTCTTGTATTTTTAAAATCCCAAATGTACTATTTATTATCAACAAAAATAAACCTAAACATCGTTCTCGAAGGGCTGTAAAAAGTAGAACTAAATATACAATATTACATAAAATGTTATATTTAGATTCAAAATATTGATGCGCATTTTCCGTTTTAGCTAACAGAAATGCAAAATCGAGTTGGCCTGAGGAGGTAGCCATAGCAACAGTACGCTGAACACTTTTCGTTAGAATCCTTAAGTGACCGAACACTTAATATATATATATGTCTATCATTATTCATTACATTATTAAAGATTTACATATTACAAGTAACCTATATGATAAAATAACCTGTTTTGTTTGCAAAGTCTTTAAGATACCTATTTGACGTTTGAATAACTGTGATTGGGGCACCAAAAGCATTTTGGGTTACGCGAGAACCTCAACAGATTGCGCCCTGAAAATGTTAATAGGCTAATACATTTTTTTTAAGTCAACTCTTCTGAAACTGTATAATTCGAACACCGTCCCGAGCCCCACCTAAGGCAATAGCTTCTTGAGGTCCGCAGGAGGGAAGGAGTTAACGAGGGTTGTAAATTCACCCCACATCTGTCAGATTTTAAGATTGTGACGTACAGAGAAGGGGGGCTGGAGGAAGAGAGAGAGAGGAGAGAAAGAGTTGGGGCCGAGATCGATGAGAATACAGAAGGGCAAAACCACAGAGATAATGACAGCGACGGAGCGCAATGCTTAGACATACATCGGCGCTCATTTTTGACACGGTTGCAGCATAGCGAAGTCCGGACATCGGACAAAATCGTACGGCTTTACGCGTCATTTGTGTTGCATCCTCGACAGTAGTGGTCCAGCGAGAATCTAGCGGATAACGGGAGTGAAGGACCGGACCGAGCCATTGCTTTTTTTGAACACCGAAATATGCTGATTACACACAAAAGTCGTTGTTACATAAAACCGACTGTTGTGTGATTGTAAACTCGGGATTTCTGCAGGTGTATAGAATAACCCATCCCATGATCGCCTTTTGATTGTGTTTTGGAGAGGCTGTTTCGCTTCTCGCCATCCAGTCGGATAAGCTATACGCTCTGAGGTAAGCAATTCTTACTTAATTCTTCTCAATCTGTTTTTAAACCTCGATATGATTGTTTAAAGTTTAATGAATTTTATTAAATAGACAAAATAAGTGCTATTAATAGAAAAAAAAATATTAGTAACGGATTTAATCATCATAGGGGTTCAAGTATTATAATATTTGTGACTAATCAATAAAGCTGAATAAGTCATCAATAATAAAACAGTGATCATGGTCCTCCTTTCTCTTTTTCAGCTTTGGTCACCAAGGCAAAAGCAAGACTCGCATGGATAAATTCAGAAGCATTTATGGAACACAGAATTTGCTTGCATGACCCAAGATGGTGCCACTGCGATGAAATGTCTCTGAGAGTACATTGAAATCAGATTTTGAGATATAAACAGCATCAGGAACTGTTTTTAGATCGCATTACAGAAACCACACTCTAGACTGTTAGAAAAACACATCAGCTAGAATTTAAAGAAGAAGTGGAGTAAGGACGGTGCAGACATGAATGGTAATATGGGTGAGATGTCTGTGCACAGCCATGTAGAGCTGGCACACAGTCAGGACAGCAGAGCCATGCTGCACTCTCGGGATCTCATGGCTGCTTTCCCTCGTCCCTCTCTGGGAGGCCCCACTATGGGCCTGGAGTCTGACCACCAGAGCCCCTCGTATGACCACAGCATGGCAACTCTGGGGTACAGTAGGGACCCACCAACCAGCTGTGGAAGCACCTACACCACACTGACACCCCTCCAGCCTTTTGATGACAAATTCCACCATCATCATCATCATCATCCCTGCCTGCCCGTGAGCAACGTCATCGGCAGCTTCACGCTCATGCGAGAAGATCGAGGCCTGGGAGGAAACTACTATACGCCGTATGGAAAAGACTTTGGTTTAGGACAGGGTCTGTCTCCTCCGTTGGGCAGTGCAGGCCTGGAGACCGCCATGCATGGCTATGGTAGCCTGGGAAGTCAGAATGGACACAGTAGCCAGATGCTTCCAGGTGGCCATGAGGTCCATATGGGCAGCAATGGGGGTAACATCTGTCGAACAGTACCAGACTTTGGGAGGGAGATGTCACCGCCGTCTCTGGGGGGCGAGCATGGGGTCAGCCACCAGCTAAACAAAATGAATGCCCATCAGCGCACTCCCACCTACCACCCCCATATATACAACCAGAGTTATCAGCACCACCTCCCAAGCCAGCAGGCCTCCAAGCTCGGGGATCTACCCTCTTCTTCCCCTTCCTCCTCTAACACCAGCTTGGGAAGGGAGGGCATGCTGGCCAGCTCACAGAACGGTGGTGGAGGGGAGGAGATCAACACCAAAGATGTGGCTCAGAGAATCATCACTGAACTGAAGAGGTACAGCATCCCACAGGCCATTTTCGCAGAGCGGGTTCTGTGCAGGTCTCAGGGCACTCTGTCAGACCTGCTCAGGAACCCCAAACCTTGGGGGAAACTCAAGTCTGGCCGCGAAACCTTCAAGAGGATGTCCCACTGGCTACAGGAGCCAGAATTTCAGAGGATGGCCTCGTTACGTCTGGAAGGTAAAACGCTTGAGCTTGTTTAATTGAATTTGAAATGGATTGTTGTTGCGAAACAGATCAAATCCCCAAAATTAATAAGTAAATCTGTATTACTAAATTAATAAGTAAATCTGAGTATTGTTAAGAACAATGGCAAATGGTACATATATGATTAACCACAAAAAAAATATTCAATAAAAGTTATTCAGTTACAATACATGAAAAGTACCACAGATACAACATTATCTTTGACCAACAATTGCTCAACTTACAGTAAAATATTGTCACTTAAATGTTTCAATAATGCTAAATGAACATTGTGTATATCATTGAGAAATAAGTAATATTTCACTTAAAATCCAGTGAATCTTGCCGTGTTACAATGTTTTGACATTAAAGAGGCTGAAATTTTAACTGTTGTCCAAAGCACACAAAGAGATCCAGAGAAAAACAGTAACATGAGAATGGACGAAGGTGGGGTGGGGGGGTGGCGATGCAGGGATGGGGCGGTTTTCAAAATGTCGGCTGGCGTGCTGCAGCAGCCACTGAGGATTGTGGGGTGGGAGACAAACACAAACACGCAGATTCTCCTAAAATCTTTCCGAATCCCAAGCGATCAATCACCTAAGCATGAAATACGCTTCAGAATGAATTATTCTGCTTGCATTACCACTACAGATATTGATTGGTGACCACTGTGCCCTCAGTCGTAGGGGTGTTCCATGCAACGAAATACATGGAATCAATCAATGCCCCGTTGGCCTGAGTGGTACCATGTCCTGCTGTTGTTTTCCGCGGTGGTCGCTAAACATGCCATTGTGGAAATTTTGATCGGCAGTAAATGTTCATTTAGGATGGTGAGTGGTGCTGTGATAACGTAAGCCCTGTTTTTTGTGACAAAAAAATGTCCAAGCTATAGGTTTTTTTTTTTTGGGATATGCATAATGCGTAATTTAGGCTTGGATTATTAGTTGAAATATTTTTCAGAAATTTTAATTGATATCGACTGTGAACTTTCTGTTGGCCAATCACCATCGGATTGATTTTTCTTAAGGCTTTTTTTCACAGCTTCTGTGCACAAAAGGATAAGTGGACACCACTGTATTTCCCTATATAACCCACTTTCCATGAGTGTTGACTTTTCTCACCATGCCCTTTGTTTAATTACTAGCTAGTATTGATTTCCTTGGGAAAGCAACGCAGAAGGCTCCAGCACACACCTCCTGTGAATAAGACGGTGTGAGCAAACATTAGAATGCATGCAGCTACACGCATCCTCTCTCGGAGACAGCAGGAGTTCAACTTAACAACACATTTAATGATGATTCAGCTTAATGCAGTGATTTTTAACAAGCATGTATACAACAAATACCCATCCTTTTAAAATCCATCAGCACTTTTTTACCCAGTATCATGCATACTGCAAACAGGGTCTGAGATCACACATATTTTAATATTTTATAAGCTACATTTATTGACTTAAAATTCGTATCCTGGTTTTCCTACATATCCTGAATCGTTTCTCTCTTTCTTTCACTCAGTTTTTCCTCAGGTCTTTTGTGTGGATGTGTTCTGTGTGAGCTTTGATTGGGAGAGAGATGAACAGAGAGAAATTCAGTCGCAGGGCAGGGTAGAGATCATTACTCTAAAGCTCAGCATTCGGACAGCATTGGGATTTCACACACAAGCACTAAAGCCTAAAGCTCTTGTCTTAAGGAATCAGAGAAATATAATCAGCTTAAATAGCAGAGGCTTTTTCACTGATGCTCTTACTTTTACATTTTCAGCCCCAAACTATTTTTTTATAAAAATTGCATAGTTAAGTTTAGATCTCTGCCGCCCTGCAGAGATTGACAATAAATGTGGTTTGGCACACCGAAGCCCCCCTTTCATCCAGCACTAAAGGGGTTAAAGCTCCTCTATAGGTCGGGGAGTCTGAGCAGCACAGATTTAATCAATAATTTCTATCAGCCCCTGGCCGAAAAAAAATCAGCAGGGGGTGGAGAAGGCAGGGAGTACGGCTTCGGGGGGAGAGGGGGGTGATAGGCAATTGGG